CCTTTAATTAGAGTTCTTTCTTCAGAATCCTCCCAGAATAAATATTAAAAAAAAACCCAACAAACTTAAGCTCTCATTCCATATTTCAAAGAAGCTTGCCTATGTCCCACCTAGCTTTGCATTTCACTAAGGGACCAGTTTCTGGCTTCATTAAAGCTTTAATAGACAGTCCTTTGGATTGCAAAGTGCAGCTGATCCATTAGCATTTCATTGTGTGCCATTAGACACCTGCTTTGAACTTCCATGGCTCCACGTGTGCCACATTTAGGTACCCAGCCAGGCAATGCAGGTGCTGAGCAAGTGCTTTGGACAAGTGGTTATCGGCCAACAGATCCCACCTGTGCTGGCACGGTCAAAATGCCACAGCAGGCTCCTGTGGAGGAAGATTTTCTAGTTGCCCGCTTGAGGAAAGAAACTATACCCTCAAAAGATTTGACAAGGATTATTGTTTTAGGCTATTCTATTTTTTTAAAGCAAGTTATCAAATATTTGATTGAAACCTTGCAGAGAAACAAAGAGCTTGGTTTATATAAGTAAGTGGACATCTCTGCCAGGAGCTGCTCTGGAGCAGGTTAGAGTCTGCAGCTAATGTAACTTAATTATGGGTACTGAAAACAAAGCATTTAGGAATGAAGTCACAACTGAACAGCTACCGTGACTACCAGTGACAGAAGTAGAACAGTTCCATCAACTTTGGAGATAAAGTGAAGCCCATTTGTGAAATCAGTGGGTGTCTCGCCCCAGTGAGCAGCGCAGGATTAGACTCGATTGCGCATCGTGCCAGCACTAGTTACAAACATAGAACAGATGTCAAGTAAATAGGGAAGTGTGGGACAAAACAGAAATAATTGTAAAAATGTGCCCAAGGATAAAATAAATTGATCCTAAGACACTAACAAACATTCTTGTATAAAGCAAAATGAGTCTTTGTACTGGGTTGGCTTTTATTTTCTTGCTAATATTGCATAACAGAACTGCGCTGGCATGATGAGGAGGGAGGATAATAAAATAACTTATCAATGCACTATTAACTCTACATGCTCTTACCTAATAACAAGATATTGATGTCTCCTTTAATGCATGCCCCATAGTTGAAAACATTCTCATTACCCTGCAGTAGCATACAAAAAATGGCTTTTTTAATACACTCATGGCCATGAATGTTTGGTGCTAAAGGCTTGCTTAAATGGTCAAAGATACCCTATTTAAGAAACAGCAAACACTTACATTGCACATTACCAACATTAAATGCAATCGCATTATCCATTAGCCAGTATTAGTGCAATTTATATCTTACTTTGGTTTGAGTTTTGCAGAATTTCTTGATCATTGCCACATCATCAGTTGAGAATGTGGGTGCTATTCCTTTGCTCATCAGTTTGATATTATTAGGAAGCATTATTGTCCTGGATATTTTCCTGCAGATGCAGAGAAATGCCATGAGATTAACTATTAAATAAATACTGGACCATTGTTTTACACAACACAAAAAAAAAAAAAAAAAAAAAAAAATCAAAGAACTCATTAGGTTTATCCATTTTATTATGGCTCGGCAAGTGAAATCCACACTGCAAGAGGATTCAATGAAATTCCAACATCAGCCGCCACAAAGAGGCCTCATGGAAGAGTAGGGACACAACAGGGGACATCAAGTTGTTACTGGGGAGGGCCCAGAGCCAGGTGAGGGGAGGAAATTTGTCAAAGAGGAGATGGCATTAGGTGGAAAGTGTTGCTGTCTGCTCCAGTGGCAGCATGGCACCATCTCCAGCAGGTACAGGGAGCAGCTGGCACAGGCCAGGCCAGCCCCTGGCTCTGAAACAGGGGGATCCTTCTCAGTACTGGCAGCATGCTGAGAAGAAATTTTTAACTGTTTGGTAAATGCCAGTCCCTGCCATGGGACACCAGGTTCCTCTCAAGCCAGTGCTGATGGCAGCCTCTCCTGCTGCCATGCCCCTCCATTCAGAGTTTTATGACTGCTTATTCCTCCTGTGCACTGGCCAAAAGAAATTGATTTTTCTGTAAATACCTTCCACATGATATCTGTAATATTGTAAGCATTTACTTACAATATTACATTAGTCTCATTTGCTCTTGAGACACAGGGTATTTGGATATTTCCCCACTGAGGATGGATGGCAATTCTGGCAGCTACACAGTGGTACCTTGAGCAAAGGAGGATGCACTGGCTCACAGGTTGCCCATATTTTTGTTCCAGTGCCTGCTTCAACCTGAGCTGCAGTCAACGCCTTAAAGGTATGTAAGGACACCAGGATCTGAAGAGACATCTGCCTGGAGATGTCTGCTCTCCAGGGAGGGACAGCAGCTCCCCACTGCAGCCACAGGACCAGGCCAGGCAGTGGGCAGCCAGGGGGACCAGTGCTACCAGCAGAGCAGGGGGAAACGCTGTATTAATTCTTGTCTTTAATACTTTCTGGGTAAGGAAACCCAACAACCAGTGCATATTGCCTTTTATACAGTTGAGAGACAAAACACAGACCGAGTTACAACAAAGCTTAAATCCAAAATAATTACATTCTGTCACAATTCCTTCCACACAGTCCAAGCTACCAAGGAAGCGAGCTGCCAGCACCCAAGGAGAGACATGATTTGCTCCATGGCTCCCTTCAATCCCACTGCAAAAAACTTCCAAATGTTTGAAACGGCAAGCAAGTAAATCTTTTAATGCTCTCCGAAAAGCAATCAGCTCATCAAACGCATCATTCAGCAGCTTCTAATATAAAATAATTAAACCATGAAAAGCTTCTGCAGTAATCTTACTTAAAAATCCTAAATTCCTTTACATTTTGAGGATCTGATGGCACTGACTCCCAGTCAGACACATACAGGCAGGGCAGAGACCGCGGGAGCTTCTCACAGCCTGAACAACTTCTTCCACTCCTTGAGCAGAGGGAGCTTAACTTTATGAAGATTTGTTGTTGCAGCACAACTATCCAAGAGATACAGCTAAATCCAAATTCATTTCATTTCCAGCCAAATTATGTTTTGATGCAGGTCACTAGAAGCTAATCTTTCATCTCTGGTTTTCATACATGAAAACGACAAGGAAAAGAATTTCAGATTAAGCAGCATTTATCATACTAAATAGAATTAAATCAAATGGAAAATTGCATAAAGAAACTCAGTTAAAACAATTAAATTAAAAAGCCTTTTACCTGTTTGAATGTAATCTTTGATTTTCTCAGAAGAGGAGAGAACCTTATTATTAAGCAAACTTAAAAGGGATCCTGGATTACCCTTTCCCCACTTCCTTGCTCTTGAACTGTCAGTCTGTCTTCATGAGCAGACTTTGCTTCCTATCTGTCAGGCAAATTCACTTGCTTGTTCTCACATGCCAGAAAAACTCGAGTTTTCAGTATTGCAGGAGCACTTAAGCTGTATAATATGCAGCAGATGAATCTTATTTGTGAATTTTTTGTTAGTTACATGCATATATAGACAGACACACAGGTGCATACACACATCTGCAGTCAGTAATATATAACACAGCTTCAGCAAAAACTTGAGCTCACTGGAAGCTAGCCTGCATTTAACAATTTTTTATTGATGCTCTGACAGCTCCCGTCTGAAATAGCTTGTGGTAAGTACTAAAAATGAAGAAATAGCAAAGCTTTCTAGAAGACACCTATTTAAAATGATCTCACAAGTATTTCAGCTTAACTGAAGAAATTATAGTTCTTTTTTTCCTCCAAAAAACTCCAAGACTTACATTACATCAATTAAAAATACATTTACTATCTTGGCTTATGACAAAAGGGAGAGCAATAAGCAGTTGCTGTTTTGGAGAACAGCTCTCTGGGAATAATTTTTCTGATATATAACACAGGCCTAAGAGGCTCAATAATGCCTTGGGTCAAATTTTTGCTGACGAACAATACCTTAGTTTCTTGGCTGGAATCCCCTCTAGCTTCTAAAAATCCAATTTCATTTCAAGACAAATTTTGTCTTAGATATAAATGCAGAAAACCATGCAGTAAGGTTGGTTTCATACAGAACTTGAGAAATGCTGAAATCTGGGGTCTGAGGCAACATTTTCTTTGTTCCTTGGAATTTGGCACTTTTCCTTTAGATTCCTATGAGTTGGTGCAAACTGCATTCTTTGTCAATTGGGAGGGTTTTTTTTAACCAGTCAGAAACAAGCATCTCCTAATTCCAACATATTATTTTGTGAATGTCAAGCTTTGAGTACCAACAGAAAGTTGTAACACCTTAGAAAAGCATCCAAGGACAAAAATACCAGCGGCAGAGTCACATACTGTTTACAAACACAACACACTGTCACTGTTTTAGTGGTGGCACTGGGGTCTTTGAATGCATCTGTTCCTATAACCTAGATTTTTGCCTAGCGCTTCTGAACAAAATCCAACGTAAGCCAGAGGTAAAAATTTGCATTTAGCATGAGACTTCAAAACTCATTAGTGAAGACAGTGACTTTTAAACACAAAATACCACTACTGTCTCTGAAAGCCCCTGAGATGTAAATCATTAGAGGTGGGGAAAGCAGTCACAAAACCCATTCTGGTGTTTCCTGTTCCCATCCCTTTGCCATGCCCTTTGCTTGGGGCTGCTGCAAGGGAGGTGATGCCAGGCTGCAACCTCAGGCTGAGGTGCTGCGGCTCGGTTACATTTGTTCTTTTCCTATATGTTGGTCCTTTGTGTTTGGAGATGAAAGGTGCAGTGTGACAGAGAGGCCTCTCCTCTCTCCTTTAGAAACTGCTCCTCATCTCTGGCTTTCCACAGTTCAAAGGCAAGGCTTTGAAAAAGATTTTGAAGCTGCATCTTGGATATGGAAATTCATGGCTTTGGGCAGGTTCGTGATCAGGCCTAAAATTTCAAGCTTAAGCTTAAGAACCTGCTGCCTAAATGTAATTCATTTTACTTGTGCTTTTCTCTGTTTTTTTTAAACAGCAGTGGGGTATTTTATAAGCATTACTTACCTGCTTTTATATGTGGCTATCACTTGATTCATTTGGGATTTGCAGGCATGGTGGAAGGCAAACTCACTGCAGTGGAAGCTCAGGGGTTAAAGATCTCAGAGGAGGAGGAGGAGGAGGGGTGCAGACAGCAGCAGCAGATCATGGAGGGAATGAAGTTTGTCTGGGCATGGCAGTAGGGGTCCACATGGGAACAGATTTGGGCAGCCACCCCTCCTGCAATCACACCATCACCCACGCAAGAGGCACCCAGTCAGGCTCTGAAGACCAAAAGGTAGCAAAGGAGGGTGACAAAATGGAAGGATATGTTGGGTTGGGTTTGTAGGTGGAATTGGGAAACCTGGATTTGTACTGTTTATTGCTTTTAAAATTTGTATGCTTTTTATCCTTGTCTTGCCACATTCCTTCTGGTGGTTCAGTTTCCAAGTCCTAGTTTTTAGCATTGTGCAAGGAGGTCAGATTGAATTGTATAAAATAAAAATGAACATTGTGGAATCTGTGAAATGACACTTCATTTTTCAGTAAACCAACTGTAGCAGAGAAGAATCAGAGGAAGAAACAATATTGGATTTATTTTTCTTTTTATTCAGGAGAGAAGAGTTATTGGAAGCCTTACTCAACAGGTAAGATAAAAAAAAAAAAAAACAAACTTTAACTATCACTGCCTTTTATTAAAGGAATCAAAGAGAAAAATGTTTCAGCAGTCAACAGTAAGACAAGAGTAACTGCAGACCTACAAAGATGCAGAGGGAGCACTGTGACCATCTCTACTGCAGTTTCACTGATTTGTTATGAAAGGAGAAATTTCAGAGCCATGAAAATCAAACACCTCTCCTATTAAGACAGGCTGAGAGTTTTGGTTGCGTATCCTGGCGAAGGCTCCAGGGATAGCTCTTAGTGCTGCCTTTTAACATTTAAAGGTGGCTCACAGGAAAGATGGAGAGAGGCTTTTTATCTGGGTCTGTAGCAAGAGGACAAAAGGCAGTGGTTTTAAACTGTAAGAGTGTAGATTAAGTTTGGACAGAAGGAAGAAATTTCTTATGATGGGGCATTGGAACAAGTTGCCCAGAGAAGCTGTGGATCCCTTTAAGCACACAAGCCCAGGTTGGATGGGGTTTGGAGCAGCTTTGTCTAGTGGAAGGCAGGGGGTTGGATGAGATGGTCTGTAATGGTCCCTTCCAATCCAAGTGATTCTTTCATTCAATGAAATACTAATCCAGTGCAAATTTTCAGTCTTTTTTGAGAGATAAAAACACCAATGTTTTTCAGGAGGAAACTGGAGGGCCAGTTATCAGGATGGCCAAGCCTTCATTCGTCAGGAGCAGAGGCTACTATCTAGGACTAGTACTTAGGAGAGTTTCTAGCTGTCATATGTTTCCCCCCCTTGCAGAGCTGAAGTTAAATAAATAAGATTAGCCAAGATATATGCAGTTCTTCAGGGCTCTGCCAGACATTCTGCCAGGTCTGACGTTGCTGACCTACTAGAGTTCCCTCCTGCTTTCTGTTTGCACCGATCCACAGGAAACCCAGCCCCGGAGACCTGCCTCACTGACCCCCGTGTTCGTTAACAATAATTGTTGATTCTGTACAATGGAACAGCACCAGCACAATTAAAACAGTTCCTTCTCATGGCAAAGCTCTTGTGTGGTTGGCAGAGAGTCCCAATGAGGTCCCTGAACTCATCCATCACACACTGCAGCTCCTCCAGCAGGTTCCATTCTCTGTGGCTGTGTGCCAGTCTGACACTGTGTGGCATGTACAAGTACTACATCAACTGCTGCCACACGCAGCCAGGGGACACGTCCCTCCACTGCCAGCTCCTTAGGCTTGGCACCTTAGAAATGTTTTCTCCTTGTCCTAAAACAAGTCTCTATTTTTTCCCTTTTATTCTTTTTCCTCCTACCCCAGACTCCCTGTGAGGAGTGGTTTTCATTTATTCCGAGCATGTTTGGCAAGAGATTCCTTTTGTCCCACCCAGGAGTCAAGGGCATTTTGAGGTCTTGTTGAGCAATAAATAAATATTTGAGTCGTATTTCTCGTGTCCCATTTGGTGGCCTAGTTACCCATCTCGATCTTTCCACCTTTGGAATCTGATGGAGAGAATGGTGAGAAAACACCTACTTCTCAAAGCCACTCTTCACATCAGCTCTTTATTATGCCAAGTAAGAATGAATAGAAAATTATTTATCCTGGGGGGAAAGGAGAAATGCTGCATCCAGGCAACTGAATAAAAATACTGCCAGCTTTCAACAAAAATTGATCTTCATTGAGTAAGACAATCATAGGAAAGAGAATTCTATATACAGAATACAATTAATAGTGAATTTTTGTGGAACTACCAGAGCTGCTGTTCCAACAGTCGCCCATACAGGCGGAGGTAGTGGTCAGTAAGTGAATCCCTAAAAATAATGCTGCCATAGAAGTGAGGCTGCTAGGGAAATGGTCCAGGAGCACTGAGGGCCTAAACAAAATCACCAAGGGCAAACTGCCCAAGCAGGACTGATTTTATGTTCATTCTGCAATGGCAAATCCCATCATGTGCTCACAGCACAGAAAAAGGGGAGAACATGGGAGAACAGGTTTGCAGCTTTGAGTCACTCAGTGCACAGGAGAAAGTGCTTACATGTGACGTGTGCATGTGGTGACATAAAATGTGTTTATACCTGGGCAGCAGAGCGTGGTGTAGAGTGCCCCAAGCTAGTGACGACCTGAGCTAGTGCAGTCCTCTGCAACCAAGGACTTCAGAGATTAATCAGCAGCGACACGAGACAGGATGTCAGGCTGTCAGCACCCCAGGTCCCACAGCAGCTCAAGGGCAGGAGCCCCAGCGAGAGGGAGAACAGGGGATATACACACCTAACAGACCCAGGAGAGCTCTAGCTGATTGTATCACACCTAGAGGAGGAGCATGTCCAAGAGCATTAAGTTTGCACTTTCCAAGGAGAAGAGAGGTGTGGTTTCAGGTCCCAGCTCTGCCTCTATTCTTTATTCATGTTTATAGGTAGCCATGGTGACTAATCAGGAGAATTGTGTTAGGCTTGGTGACTGCTATGCATAATATATATATATATACCTGCCTGGTTTAGAACAGCACTTTCCTTATAGGGAGATGGATATATTTTGATTCAGGCTACAGCCCTCCACTCCCCCTAAATGCAGTGAATGCTATCCTCTATTCTGTAGATCTTTTTGCTCAAGCTGGACCCAATTGACTGGAGCATTCAAAAAGATTAAATTTTTCTTTCCCTTCTTAGGAGAGGGGAGTAGATATGTGCGCTAGACAGACCTGCTCATGGTGAATAAGATTTGTCTTAACTTGTGAAAGCAATTCTGCTTCTCTCTGTCCCTCCCCTCACCTCCCTGTGATGCACACCCTGCCTCCAGACACACTTCCTTCCTCTCTCCCGGGTGTGAGGGTTGGAGGCAAGTAAACCCCATCTGTCTCAAATCCAGTGGCAACTACTGTGTCAGATTCTGCCCTGCCTTATATCCCATAAACATATATTAATGATTCCTTCCATAAACCCTTCTACAACTACTGTTATGCTGTAGTAAACTTTCTCTTGGCCTTGTATCAGCCAATGAAGCTTCAGCCCAAAGGAATCTGGCACAGTAGCAACTTAGCTGCATAACATGTTGATGGTTGTAGAGTCGACACTTCCCTCCATTGCCAATATCGAAGGAAGTGAGAACAGGCAACATGCAACCTTACGGCACAACATTGTTTTGTCTCTGATTTCCTCCCCAGCCAATAAATGCCTCAGAAACTTTCCGAAAAGCAGGAATATTTGCGCATGGTCTTGCACTTAAAAGCATATCCAAATTATAATGGAATGCTTTCCTCCAAAACAAGATAATAGGGCTTGGGAAAACAATGTTCTAGGTGAATGTCTGCTAGAGACTGGCAAGCTGTCTGGCAACAAATTCTTTGGGGAAACACAGCTCGATACTCTTGCTGGAGGGGAACAAGTGAAATTACAAGACAGGGAAAAGTAACGTGTCTTGAGAGGTTAAATGCAAAAGTCTGATTACTCCTCTCAATTATCCCAATCTTACTTCATGAAATTTGCTATTTGAGAAGTGCTTATTTCCAAATTATACTGAGATGAGCAAGAGGATAAGTCAGTGAAATCACTAAATGAAAGCCAACCCTTCCATATAGTACATGCAACCCGACCAATTTAGTACAACAAAATCTGTACGCATTTGAAGTATCATGAAAATAGTGTCTTTAATATACAGTTTATATACTTACAATACGCAGTTTAAATTTGTTCATATACATTACAGGGATATTTATTTGCACCTGGTTTAAATAACAATCTGCCTCCAGCCTTTTACACAAAAGCCCAAAACAGCACAGAATTCCACAAAACCCATGCTTCGTTTTATAACGGAAATGTACTAAGCCAAAGTTTTGGGGCTTTTTCTTTTTTTTTTTTTTTTTTTCCCCAAGTGTTACTTTTTTGACATACCCGAAGTGAATCTAAAGAGCTAAGAACAAACATATTTTTAATACAATTCAGAAGATTGTCCAAGTCAAGAGAATCACTCTGCAGATTTTCACACTAAAAATTTGGTTATTACACACAAAAATTGTGAAGTCTGAACAACTCCTGGACTACCAGGAGTTTAAGCCATAACAAAATGGAGAGTCATTTATTGCTAGGTCTCAACAAGGGGCCTGCATTTCCCCACTGCCCTGCCATCCCTACAAACAAAAAGGATGATCCCTCTTGCTGATTAGGATTTCATCTGTACCTTCTGGTTTGCACACAGGAATGCTGCAATTTCAGAGCATCAGAAAGAGGAGCCAGAAGAGCTGGGCTAAGCCATAGTCCTCTCACAGGGCTGCTGTTTGGCTGTTAAGTATCACGATGTGACCCCTGCCTGGCCTGCAGGCAGGACTTGGCTGGCCTGTGTTCCAGGCAGGCAACCCACTGGGATGCACACAAGAAGCTGATGCCAGCACAATTTGTTTTGTGGGGGGACAACCAAGAAGTTGATTCAAGATGAAAACATGAGGGAAAACAATTATTTATAGCCAGGTTTGAAACACAGTGCATTTTCAGGCAGCTTTGCTGTTTACTCTGTTTGTCTTGAAGCTGTTGTTGTGGAACAAAGTTATTTTAAGTGGCAAGTAAACCTGTTCTATTAGAAAATACACAATAATACACAG